GGTATTGAGGGAACTATGAAAGATCAGTAAAAGCTGAGCTGGTGCAGAAAATGATTCTAGAGTATAGATTAAAGCATGTGCATACATCATTTTGGCTTCAGCTACAGCATTGCACCATCTCAAGCTGCAAACACGGATTAGGACAAATTTGGAAACAAGGCACTTGGCATCCTTGAACAAATTCGGAGTTAACATACATGAAGGATGGCAGGAAGTGTTTATAGTATGCCAGTTACTAGTAGTATCTATCAACAAATACATCATACATGCAGATTTAGGATCACAAACTTAATGGTGAAATAAAATGGGGTTGAGAAACAGAAAGTGCCAGAACTGAGGCTCCGGTAATACAAGTTTCAATTCCACTGGTGGTAGTTAGGAAGTTTGCCTTAAAAGTTATAATCTCAAAAAAACTGACTATTATCAGGGGTTATGTTTATATTGTGTAATACAAAATTATAAGTTGAAGACACAGTGAACAATAATTTAATAGGTTTTAATGTAGTTAATTTACTAATGTTACACACATTTCTCCCATGAAACTACTCACGTTTCAGAGATGCAAATACTTTCCTGATCCCTGCTTGCAAGTCCTTGTTCCGGAAACTGTACACAATCGGGTTTATGTGGGGGTCACGAGGGTATAGAGCGCAGCTACCACCTCGTCCCTTTCAAATGTGTAGCTAGAAGCAGGGCGAATATAGGTGTAGGTGACAGGGGAGTAGAAAAGAGACACCAGTATGAGGTGGGATGAGCATGTTGAGAAGGCTTTTCTCTTGCCTTCCGTTGTGCGAATGCGAAGAATGGCGACGATGATGAAACCGTAGGAGACGCAGGTGAGGGTGAAGTCGCCCACAGCCAGAGTGAGCTCAGCAACATACACCATCCCTTCATTGATTCTCACAGGGCTGCAGGACAAAGCCAGCAGCGGGGGTATCTCACAGAAGAAGTGGTCAATGGTATTTGATCCACAGAAGGTCAGCCTCAGGATGAGACCTGTGTGCACCCAGGAATTGGTTACAGCAATAACCATGACAGTGCTGAGCAAGGCCACGCACATCTGGTGGTTCATAAT